AAAACCCTTAAGTAAAATAATTGAATAGGTTTTACATATTTTTTTTTTAATAATATTGAACCGATTTTCCCAGTTTCCCAATTTTCCTACATTTTTCCCGGTTTTCCCATGAGTTATCCTGGTTTTATACATTTGGTGGGAAAACACTTAGGGAAATCTAAAAATGATATCCCTAAAGAACCTTCCCAGTCAAATTTCCCTTTAGAAAAATTGGAGTAAAATTTCTGATCGATAAGTTTTTACAGAAAAAAAGAAGGCCGTAATATTGTATTTTAACTAATACCTGTATTTTTTAATATTCCTGTTTTTTTTTTTCGGTTTTTCAAATTTGATGAGAAAACTCTTGAGAAAATCGTAAAATGACTTCTCTAAAGTACCTCCCTAATGAAATTTACTTTTAGAAAAATTGCTACACTTAAAAATTTGAACAAGTCTTCTAGCATTAAAAGTTACGCACAGATGAAAAAAAAAATAAACCTTTTTAAAACTGTAAGCTTTTTTACTTCACTCAGAATTTAAAATTGTGTTAATTAATCATGTAAGATAAATGACTACAAATAAATTTCACCATCATTTATCTAGTAGTTCTCAAGTAAATTAATGTGTCACACAAATTTTTTTCAGAAGTCTCATTCATTTAAGTATTCATTTTTAGAATCAAGATAACATTATGTAGATAATTTGTTAAAACCCAGGTTTTCAAAATAGAAAAAAAATTTTAAAAATTTCAAATTCCATTAGTCTATCACTGAATAAAATCATGCCAGTGTTTTCATTAATTTTAGAAAGACATTGTATATGTAAAAAAAAATAATGTCTCTTAAAGTGTTTACGAATATTTTTACCTGAATTATAACAAAAAAACAAAGTGGAAAAAAATAATGGCATTATTATCGTAAATTTTCCCATTATTTCTAAGTTTTTTTTTTGTTTTAGTCAGTTATTAAATAATACTATACAGAGATAATTAAAAACTGCCTAATTTAGTTTCCAACTAAATTAAGAATGCATAAAGAGAAAGGGCACTGCAGGTTTTTTTATTGATCAACATTTCTGGTAGAAAACAAAGAGTGTATAAATTTAAAATAATGAAATCAAATGCTGTAAATTTATTAGATTTCATTTTCTGTCTTTTTCAGTTTTTTTTAATAATTATTAAAATTACCTGGTTATTCCAAAAAACTAACAAGATCTAAAATGCAAAGAAAAAGGTCTCCTGGAATTTTTTGATTTAAGCAAAATTTTGTTAGAAAACAATGCGTACAATTTAAAAATTATGAAATGTATTTTTTTTCCAGTATTCTTCCATTATTATGAAAACTTTGAAAATCGAAACATAACCTTTTCAATGCATCAATTAGATCCAAAACTAAACCAAAAGAAAAAGTTTCTTATTAAATTTCATGTAATTTGGCATGGCCCGTTTAAAACTTAAATACAAAATAAAATAAAAAAGGTATTTTGTTATTTTTGATAGGAATAAGTCAAAAAGTTGCTTTTGAAAAAAAAAAACATTCTAATAAAATCAATAGATTCCTCACTTTGCTCTTAATTTAGATTGTCAAACAAATTATAAACAATTATAAACAAATATAATTTAAGATAGCTATTTTATAAATTCATTTTTAAAATTTGTTAAAATCCTAATTTTTTTTTAAATACATTTTAATAAATGATAAGCATTTATCAGACTCATCGCTTAAGTTAATATGAAGAAAATATTATCAAATTTTACAATATTTCATGAAAAATCAAATTAATCATTTGAAAATATAAGTACCCAAAAAAATTGTTTAAAAATAATTGACTCAACCTTAGTGAAAGTTTTTGACACTAACATTTTTTTAAAAATTTTAAGTAATTAAAAAAATGATTATCTATAATTCAATTTCACGTTTTTTTATTTTAAATTCTTAATCATTAAAATTGAACTAAAAAATATTTAAATTAAAACGATTAATAATTGTTTACTATTTGTGGGATGAACCATTTTCAATACACTCGTTTTTTCGTTATAATCTTATAGCGGAGTAAATAAATCTCGCGGTGCTAAATTGTACATCTTGCACTGTAGTCTTGAGACTAGTAGATGCGAAATTATCAATTGATGTTTTATTTTCGTGTGACTAGGGTAGTAACTCTGTTGTATGTTCTTGCACGGTGTGACCATTATAGTATATTATCAGATTAAAATACACAGATTTTAATAAAGTGAACAATTTCACATATCTAAATGCTATCTAGCAATCAATTTTCGGAGTACTTGCTGTACTTATGCATACAATCTGTGTCATAATGTGTCGGCAACAACAAGTTTTATAGGTTTACACGATAAATTGGTTTTTGGAAAATTGTTTAATACACCGACCTTTTTAATTAGTCTTCATTTGTTAAATAGTCCTGTATATATATATATCATTTTTATATATTATTAAGTATTCATATAAAATAACTTTTATTTATATATATTTTAAACATGTTTATGTTTTATATTGTCTTAAACAGATGCAATGTTACTTAGTAGTGAAGATGAAAGTCAACAAGTTATTCAAATGGAAGCAAATTCATTAAGTAGTACAGATATTAATCATGAACACCAAGGTATTGAGAGTTCGCTTTCAGCAGAATTTACAAATCTTGAAATGAATCATTTAAATACTTGTAAAGTTAAAAAGAAAAATGCTTCTAATAATGTTCCAGTTTCATTTGGTATACCTACAATTTATAAACAATTTGCTAATGAACTACTATTACATAATAGTACTACAGGAAGGTTTTTACAAAACTGTGTTTGCGTTCTTTTATCACCTGAAATTAACCGGTGCATTGAATGCTCTATTTTTTCGAATATAAATAAATCAATGAAATATGATAATGATACTATTGATAATATTCAGTGCCGGTTTTATGCTTTTCGTGAGTTGGAAATAAAATCAAAAAAGTTAACAATTGCTGGATTTCCTGATCCATTTAAAAATGCAACTAAATTAGATTTTGATCTTTGGAAACCTGGTAAAGTCTTGTTTACTCCCAGTGATTTCAAAATTCGAGCTTCAATAAAAATTTTAGAAAATATAGGAGGTCAATTATGCAAAGTTATTCAAGATGAAAAAGAAGCATTAAAATTAAATTGGTCAGAGACACAAAATAATAAAATGCCAATATGGAAAAAACTTTTGAAAGGTGTAAGAGAAATGTGTGATCCGTGTAAAACAACAATATTCAATTATCACTGGTCCTGTCTTACATGCGGGTTTGTAGTTTGTATTGATTGTGTTAGGAACGAACTTGGAGCTAATAAATCTACAACACAAGGTGTAAATTTTAACCAAGATAATCCAGCTTGGTATTTGTGTTCCAACAATGAAATACATAAGTTTGATCAACTTAATATTACACAAATAATGGCTGGTGATTCCTTAGACTATATTTCAACACTTATGCACAATGAGTGTATCAAACATCAAATACCTTTAAAATGTAAATGCAGTTATCGTATACCAAAAATGGAATTCCCACCTATTAACTGTAGTCAATTTGAGACCAAAATTCCTGAAAACATGATAGAAGAAATTTTTCCAGAAGATTCTGAATGTAAAGATACACTTTTTTCTTGTTATGAAGATATTGTAAATAAACATTTTGATGAAATTGAATATAATTATAAAAAAGAGTCACTGCCCAAATTAACAAAAATGATAGACACAAATAACTTTAGTAGCCCTCCTCACAGGTGGTTATGTAATGGATTAATATTAAATTTATTAGAACCACACATGCAAGAAAACTATGGACTATTTCAGGTATTTATAAAAACACATATTTTATATTATGTTAATATTATTTTATATCTCCAAAAAGCTGCCTTAGAATAATGGAGACGGGTGCAGCTACTGTTATAGTTAATTAAATGTATACCTGTGCGAAGATAAACTATAGCTAACAAAAAAAACGATTCTGAGCAGAGTTCAGTTTGTGTTCATGCCTTGTTTACAATATAAATGTCATATTATAGTAAAATAATTAAATAGGGGCATTATATATTTTCTTTAATAATATTTGTTTAATATTGTACTAATTTTCTCAGTTTTCCTACGTTTTTCCCAGTTTTTCTGTGTTTTATCCCGGTTTTTCACATTTGCTGGGAAAACTTAGGAAAATAAAATAATACCTCAATAAAGTACACTCTAGTGAAATTTCCTTTAGAAACATTGCTATTATTAATAGTTAAAGCAAAATTTCTAGTAGAAAAGTTGTTCACACAAGAAAAATAAGGTTTTTCATCTTTGATAAGAAAACTACTTAGAAAATCGAAAAATGACTTTTCTAAAGTACATTCCTTGTCAGATTTCCTTTCAGGAAATGTGCTTTTATTGTAAATCGGAGTCAAATTGCTTATAGAAAACTGAAAAGATGTACACATGAAAATAAAAGGCTGAAATATTTTTTAACTAATACCTACATTTAGTACATTTTCCTGTTTTCCTCCGTTATTTCCCATTTGTTGATAAAAATTCTGGACGTATCAAAAGATGACTTCCCCACACCGATTTATTTTCAAATAAAAGTGCTACGCTTAAAAATCGAAGCAAAATTTCTAATAGTAAAGTTGCACAACAAATCAAGGGATAGTTTTTGATTAAAAGAGTTCGAATGAGCGAGCGATAGCTCGGTCTCTAGGTGCATCTAAAATACCTTTTTTGTATTCACTGTTTAGGTAAAAGGAAAAAAAAAAAGTGCTAACAATTTTTATCCTACACTCAGAATCTAAATGTACAATTGTTAATTGAAAAAAACTAAAAATTTAGCGAGTTTTCTGTTTGTAAACAACTTTTCTATTAGAAAAATAAAGTGTTGAGTATAGAGTTTTACCCTTTTCTGAAAGGTAGTTTTCTCTCCTAGATGGATTGAGAGGGTCATTTTTCGATTTTTCAAGGGGTTTTCGAAATAATCGGGAAATTCCGAAAGAAAAGTATAGGTGAAACTGCAAATATTTATGGCGCGCGGCGGCGTTATGGTTTTCATTGTTTTTATTATATTAACACGATGTTATCTACCAGAAATATTGCTTCAATCTAAAAATGACAAAAAATCGATTTTGTTCCTTAGAATATTTCGTCACTGATAGAGAAAGTAGTTTTTGGATATCCAAAGGAGTTTTCCTAATAATTAAAAATACCAAAAAATTAAATTAATTAATATTTACAGTAACATAGCGTCTCGGTTTCATTATTTGAATATGTTTAACTTGTTTTCTACCAGAATATTACTCCGATAAAAAATCGATTTTTTTTCTTTTGATACGTATCCATTGACAAAGAAAGTCGTTTTTTAATATCTTATGCATTTTTTTTATCTGTGAACAACTTTTCTACCAGTAATTTTACTCAAATTTACAATGGTAGCACTTTTTCTAAAAGGACATCTTACTTTGGATGTACTTTAGGAGGACAGTTTTTAATTTTTCAAAGAGTTCCCAATAAATAATATAACCGGGAGAACAGGAAAATAGGTACATTATTGAACAAATATTATTAAAGAAAATGTTTAATGCATATGTTATTTCACCATAATATAGCATATACTCGTATATTTTGATGACAAATCAAAACTATTTACTGAACACTGCATGCATAGAATGGTTTTTATTAGCAATGGATAATCTTTTCTTACAGATATTCATTAATTCCCGTCTATATCCTACCTACCCAACTTCCCACCTACAACAGTGGCCCACCCACGTTCGAAGTATATCCATCTTTTTTTTTTTATAATCAATTGGGAAAAACAAAAAAGATGAAATTACGATTGTTTTGTTTTTCATATGTTTTTCACTATAAATATTGCTCTAATAGAAAACGACAAGTCGCCAATTTTGTTGAATATTTAATTTACTTAACGATTACGTTATTTGATTTTTGATTTTCTCTATTGTTTTATTAATAATTAGGAAAAACCGGAAAAAACGACAACTGACAAGTTAACGGTTTTACGATTTTATTATTTTAAATATTTACCCTTACTGTTTTCTACCGGAAATATTTTTCCAATAGAAAAACAAGAGATATTTTATTTTGATGACCAAAATAGTTGTTACTTAATTATCGAAATAACGGATTCAGAAAAATAATAAAAATAAAAAACCAATAGGTAACAATAATTATTCGTGTAAATATTAATCGAAGATTGCAATAACAGTAGAAATAAGAAATGTATGTAAGTAAAGTATGCGTTCTGTTAAGAGTAAAACACCAAAATATTCAGTCTGTCTTTATATTCGTAATATACAGTTTAGTACTATAATTTAGTTCTGGTTTAGATTTTAATTAAAATAACACAATTTTTGGAAAGTTTGACTTAGTCTGATTTTGTAAAAGCACCAACTATTTTGGTATGGATTAGTTAATATTTAATCTTGACAAATTATACTACTAATTTAATTTTTATTTCTAATTACTAACGTAATAAACATAACTTAACTTTATTGCGATTTAAGAGGTGTTTAATTAAGTACCCTGCACACACGCGCCAACTAAGCACCACTAGACTTTAAGAGTCATAATTCGAAATATTTAGTAAAATAAATAAGATAATTAAACCTTTTAATGAAAATGACCCTGAATTTATATTGCAAATTCTTTGTCTAGGTATTGTAAAATAAATAGTTTTGAGAGGGTGGATGGAATAGAGAGAGTTAGAAATATATGTTTTAGTATGAATATTTATTAATGGAAAATTTAGTTTTAATTAAAATAGTTGGGATATTTTACAAAGGCTTTAATGAATAAAATAATAAATAGAACTTTAAAATATCTGAGTTTATTTAGGAAGTGTGTAATAAACTAAATATTAAAATATTTTGTTCATTATTATCAAATACTATTAAGTATATTATTTTGCAGGAACAATGGATGCGCGGGCAACCTGTGTTAGTTAGTGGTGTGGGTAAAGGTTTAATCAAATCATTATGGAATCCAGAATCGTTTTCTCGAGATTTTGGTGATCAAATAAATGACTTGATAGACTGTAGTACAAACACAGTCATACACGATCAGCCAATGTCAACATTTTGGGAAGGATTTGAAAATGATTCCAAAAGATTACGTAATATAAATGGTCATTCTATGTTGTTAAAACTGAAGGATTGGCCACAATCAGAAGACTTTGCCGAAATATTACCAGACAGATTTAAAAATCTGATGGATTGCTTGCCCCTGAAAGAGTACACTCATCGAAATGGCAAATTTAACTTAGCTTCTTATTTGCCCGAATGTTTCCTTCGACCAGATTTAGGTCCAAAAATGTACACAGCTTATGGTAATGCAGGTACTACAGATAAATTATTAGGCACCACAAATTTGCATTTAGACATGTCGGACGCCATCAATGTTATGGTTCATGTTGCTATTACAAAAGAGTGTAGTGACTATAGAACTGAGTGGTATGTAAAGAAAGCCTTCGAAATAATTGAAGACAATGAATGCGATGAAGTGTCAAAGAAACGGGTTTTTGTAAATGGAGAAATACCCGGTGCCATTTGGCACATTTATCATGCAAAAGATTCAAATTATATAAGGGACCTGTTGCACAGAATAAACATTGATAAAGGAGTTTTTAGGGAAGAAGGCAGTGACCCGATTCATGATCAATCACATTATCTAGACAAAAATATTAGGGACCGTCTATATAAAGAATATGGAATCAGAGGTTACACAATTATCCAGTGTGCAGGCGATGCGGTGTTTATTCCAGCAGGAGCTCCTCATCAGGTACTTTTTATTTTAATGATAGCAAATTGGAAATGTGCCGTTAATAAGGTGAATAGAACCTTTAGAATAAAACTTTTTAAAAAAAAGTTTTATATAGTTTATATAGTCATAATATTTTAGTGTACAATTTGTAATATCTGCCAGTTTTTTTTTTTTAATGTTTAATTATCATCCCGGTATACATATTAAATCCCAACATTGTTATTTTAGGAATCATATTGTGTATTGTATATTTTAAAAATCTCTATTCTGTACAATATGAATATTAAAATATCATTTTTTGGACTTGGTGTTTAATTTTCTTAGGGTGGTACTTTAAGCAGGTTAATTTTAAATTTTTGGACTGCTTTATTTTATTTATTTTAAGGTATAGGAGAAGTTCGGCAAAATAATAAAGGTGACACTCAACCCCATTTAGTGTTACTTTGAGATTTAAGTATGGAAAAATAAGGAAATTGTATGGTTTTTAATTTTCTTTTAGTAACTTTTAGCATAGAAATGCCATGTTTTAGTGTAGAAATAAATATCGTGTACATCCTATCTAGTTTAACATAAATAGGGTAAATTTTAACACAATATGTGTTATATCTGTTTTTAGTCAAAGCAAATATAAAACTTATATAATTGTTATTGAATGCAGAATTTATTATTTCTTCACAAGTTTCAATAACTATATTTCTTATGATCAGCAGTATTTATGTAGTTAGGTTTAATTCTTGCTAGGGGATACTGCAGGTAGCGAAAGTCATTATCAACAAATTTAATGTAAATTACTTTTATATAATAGCATATAGGGATTCTGAATCAAAACAATTTATTTTCCTTTAAGTAAGAACCACTTTAACCTAATCTATATATATTTTTTGTCAATTTCAGTATTTTCTTTTCAAAATATTAATATCGAAACGTTATTAATACTTTAATTTCAATTGAATATTAATTTGATTATTATAATACAGAGTGGCTATTTATTTACAAAAAACAAAATTTAATTATTACTATTATGAATTTTAATTATTTTTTTGGTGTACACAATGATTTTTTAAATTATAAACCTGCAATTTTATGCACCATACCTGGGAATTTTGCAATGAATTTATTTCCTGTTTTTTTTTTTTTAATTTTTGGAATTTTAAAACTTTATTTGAAAATCATTTTTATTTCCATAAATAAGTTTATATTTTGTTTTTTAAAATAATAAATCTTTGATGCACATAATACTTATATTAAACTTACTGTTTATAAGTTATAACCATTTAAAGTTAGGCAGAAGTAGATAAAGTTATAAATTTATCATTTGAAAATAGATAAGCAATTTATTGTCCTTCCCTACTTCTCTGGTCTAAACATTAACCAGTTAAAACTCATAACAGAGTTATTTATTAAAATATTGTTCAAAACTTTAATTATACATATACAATATACTATTTGCAAGACATACATATTAGAAGACAACTGTTTGTAAATTAAAGAAACAATTGATAAACATCAAAATTATTATGTATGATTGCTCATATAATATGAAAAATGTGTTAAAAAATCAAATTCCAATCATAAGAATTATAAATAAAATTATAGTCTTTATATGTTAAAGATGTCTTTTATTGAGTTAAATGTTAAATTAACAATACGTTATTTGTATATATGTGTTTCAGGTTAGAAATTTACATAATTGTATAAAAGTAGCTGAAGATTTTGTATCCCCAGAAAATATCCATCAATCATTTCGCATGACTCAAGAATTTCGTAACCTAACTGAAAATCATACTAATCACGAGGACAAATTGCAGCTAAAAAATATCGCGTTTCATGCAGTGAAAGACTCCATTTCAGTTTTAATGCATACCCAACAATATAATATAATTTAGTAAATAATTAATTTTAATACACAGATGGTATTTTTATTCCTTTTATTATTTTTTTTCTGGATTGTTGCCATTTATAATTTGAACTGATAGAGTAGTTTTTATTTGTAATTTTTGTAAACTATTGATTTATTTTATAAAAAATTAAGTAGAGTATTCTAAATCTTAGTACTTCTAATTTTAATCTAGTGTAATGTTTTATTATTTTATTGTAATTAATTAACATTTTAATTCTACATATTAAAAATACTCATTTTGAAATGTTTGAATCTTAATGTTGATGGTATTATCAGATGAATAATGAAAAGGGGGGTAGTGGATGTATTTCTATTGCATACTACCTTTTCATTTTTATATTGATTCACATAGTGTTGCTACTGAATTTAAGATTCTGAGTGGAAAGAAAAATGTATTGATTTTACAATGATGTATATTTCTTTATTTTTTTTTTATGTAAACACTTTCTATCAGAAAACTTATTTCCCATTATCAAGTATAGTATCTTTTCTAAAAGGAAATATTTTCTGGGTGGTACTCTAGAGAGGTCATTTTTTGAAATTCTCTCTAATACTCAATATAATGAGGAAAATCTGGTTCTTTAGGTTAAAAAAAAAGATAATTATTGTCATGGAACACTGTTGTAATCATTATACCATAATGTAACATGTATTGTTGACAAAGCAATACTATAAACTGAACTCCACTCAGAATCATTTTTTTTTTACAGAAAAATGAAATAATATTATAACAAGCTACAATAATTTATTTTTACATATGTTAAGGTAAAATTAGTTAATGTCGTTATATTTATATTTTTTGTACATAAAAACCGATTTTGTGCTGTTAGTGTTAATATTAGAGTGTATGAGCCTATTATCAAACTTAAAAGTAAGAACATTGTCAGCTTTTGTATGTTGGTTTTTTCTTGTTTTAATTTTCAAGTAAATTACAAACATGTGAAATATTACAATTTAAAAATTGTCGAATCTGGATTAAAAGTTAAAATATTGATAAAAATACCTACATAAAAACACAAACAGCACAAAATAGGCTAAAGTATAATTATAACTACATTAATTGATTTTATAATATTAACCTAACATATATATAGTATATAGCAAAAATCAACATTATTCTAAAAAAATAAACAGACGTACTTTGCACTATAGGTGGACCAATGTTGTAGGTGAGAAGTTGGAGAGGTAGAGCAAAAATTTAATGTATATCTGTACACAAAGATTAATCATTGCTAAGAAAGAACGATTCTGGGTGAAATCCAGTAATACATATTTTGAAAGGCCTTATTATTTACATTTGCATAAAGTAATACATGTACGATTTTCCTCCCATTTTTCCCATTCATCATAAAAACCCTTGGGAAAATACAAAAGAAATCACCTCCTTTAAGCACCACCATAGTCGGATTTCCTTTATGAAAAAGTGTTACACTTGAAAATCAGAGCAAAATTTCTTGTAGAAAAGTTGTTTGGATAGTTTTAAAAGATCGAAAATAATTGAAAATAATTATTAGCAATTACCGGTGGGCAAAGAGTACAGAATAATATAATAAGTATTAATAAATAAGCAACTAGGTTCAGAAGTTTAGTACAATATGGCCTAGTGAGTTCATATTATTAAGGAAAAAATTGTAATTATTTAAGTGGTTATTACAATAATTTACTACACATTTTATAGGAATATTTTGGACAAAATTTTGTTTATAAATTTCAATGTTTTTTTTACTAAATGAGTAAATTGGCAGGGCATGAAAATTAATCTTATTTAGAAACTGAACAAATTAATTTACAGTTTAGTAATTTGTAGAGGAATAAAACATCTTAGTGAATTTTATGAACTAAGTCTACTTTTTTTGGTGTTCCACATTAATAAACCAAATTCAAGGACTTTCAGACATTTAGGTCAATAGTATCAATGATGATCTATATCTTTAATATTATTAACAATAAGTAATTAATTTTGTAATTGTAACTACTTTGGTTATAAGAGAACAAAATTTGCATGCATTTTTCAGTATTCAGTGACATCATATCATATATCATTTTACATCACTTAAATTGTTTCGGTTAGCGTATTAAAATTTTAAAAAAGAGAGAGCTAATACTGCTAACGAGTGCACCATCGTTGTAGGTGAAAAAGTGGGAAGGTAGGAACTATAAAAGTATAAAACATCGTTAACGATAAACGATTCTGAGCCATGTTTAGTTATACGCATGTTTAAAATTCCATAATATTAACGATTTTAACAAAAAAAATCATTTATCTTTTTTTTTACCACTAAGTACATCTATAAATAAACTTCAAATTAAATTTTCAAGCATTTTTGATTTATCAAACAATTTCATCCACATAATTCCTACCAAAGAAAAACTTTAAAAGAAAGCTAGAAAATGTAAAATGCTTATGAATAGCTAAAACATGGTTTTAGAATATTTTGAAAATTTGACCACGTCTGGAAAGAGCCAATATAAGTTTTCTGACAACATTTTTAGTTTTCATAGGCACCGCCAAGATATTTTTCATGGGGCTGCATAGTATACGCTAATATTTAAATCAGTGTTCCCCAAAGGGTGTGCCGTGAAATTTGAAAGATGTGCCCCGAAAACTTGAACTATTTTCTATTAAAACACCATTGTAAAATGATCATACAATTTAATTAAAAATAATTTTTGGAAATATTAAATATTAAACATAAAGTATAATGGAATAAAATTAGTTTGAGTACAAATAAAATAATAATGATTTATTATCAAATCTCCAAATTTTAGTGTGATACGTGTGCTTGATGCTGTTTGCACAATGATTCAATTTGAGGAGGGATGGACGATAAATACACTTACATTTCTTTTTTAATTGATAAAATATTTTTGATATTGTCTAGGGCGGAAAACCTAAGTTCGCAGAGGTATGTTGTAGAAAATGGTAATAGCGTATTTATTATTAATTATTTAATTTCGGATATTCCATTTTAATAAAATTCCAAAACTGGAAGAGTTTAAGTTCATTAAATTTTAATTTCAATGAACGATCAGATTGAAATTCTAAAAGTCGCTCTTGTTCAAACCTAGATGAGATATTGAATCTGATGTTATTGCAAAAGGATTGCGCACCTAATCATATTCGTTAATAGGTAAAGATAGGAAATAAATCTGGTCTTAAATCACTTATATTTAGAAAGCAAGTTATTTGTAGATAAAAATCAACAAATGACAATCCAAATGAAGTGTCACAACTTCTTTTCAAGTTAACTATTAGTGCTAATGAATATAAATTACATATTAGACTAAATTTAAATTTCTGTGTTGATGATGAACTTGAACTACGTTTGAAAAAATTGAAAAAGCCCTGAGTTCCTCAGAAAAAATATAACTTTAAAAATGATTTGACCAACTACTATATGAGAGAATTTCGGTTAGAATGATTTGAAATGTATCCATGGTTACAGGGTATTATTTACGCAAGGATATTGTGGGTATTTGTCCAGGGCTCCTTTAAAACCAATACCTATTGCTGCAACATAGTGTTAAAAATAATAAGTTGATGTAATATAGTAGTTTTTCTTAGTAATCGTTCTAAGATGAAATTTTGACGAAAATCGTTAAAACCACGGCATTTCCATACATGTACAACCAAACTTCGCACAGCATCGTTTATCGTTAGGAAATAGTTATCGTTATTTATGAATACAAATTAAATAATATTATGTATCCTACCTTTCCAATTTCCTACCTATAACAATGACACACCCACCACTAGTACAAATACGTCTGTCAATTTGTAAGTGCGTCGTGCGTGTTTCGTGTTTCATGTGTGATTATTATATTTTATTTAACATTATTTAATATTTCTGTACCAAAAAAAGAAGGAAATAGTGATTTATATGTTAGTAGTTGTAGTAGCAGAGAATTTCAAAATTCATAGACTGAAGATTATGGTATGGTTAAAAAAGGTGATAAAGCAGTATGTATTTTATGTTCAACCACAATAGTATGTAGAACATCCTATGTTAAACGACATTATGAAACTAATCATAATTTTCTTTTGAAAAAAATAAAAGAAGTATATTCTAAAAGCAATTAAGAATAAGGATTTGCAGACAAATCCTTTACTGAAGTTTATGGGTAGTAATTTAAATATTGTTGCCGCAAGTTTTGCTGTATCAAATGTTATTGGAAAGTGCGGAAAGCCCTTTCGCGATGGAGAATATATTAAAGATTTGATGCTGGAAACTGCACCATTTCTATTTGAAGATTTTTCTAATAAAGACAAAATTATGCAACGCATAAAGGATTTACCCATAACCAGAAATACTGTGAAATATCGGGTTTTAAAAATTGCAGAAAATATCACAAATAGCCGATTTTAAGTTTTGTAATGTTTTTTCAATTTGTCTTGACGAGAGCACTGATATTACTAGTTAAACTCGATTATCTATATTTATTAGATATTTTGTTAGCAATGAAATTAAAGAAGAGTTTGTTAAATTAATATTATTATAATTGTATGTACCTACACTAACTTTTTTTATACTAATACATTATTTATACAATCAAATTATGATTATTTTTTTCTAAAATATTGAATATAACAAAATATTTTTCATTTTTAATTTTTGACACATATTGTTCAAAAGGTTTTCCACTGGTGTACTGAAATAATAACAACAAAAATAATATGCATGTAATATAGATATTTAATATATGCATTTATTTATTCATTCCAACATAAATCTGTTTAAATAATACCAAAAAATAATGAAAAATAAATGAAAACTAAAATACAAAAAAAATACTAATACAAAGAAATCAATTTGAGTCTTAATCCGAGTCTGTTGTTGAACCTGTTCTTATTGTTAGCATATGACATGCTTCATTAAGTTCTGCGTCCATAATTTCGTGAGTTATGTTGTCGACGTTCCAAAATTTCTTTTCCTCTTTTACAACGTGTCCCACAAAATTCGTCCACATTTCCGGTGTTACGTGTTCCATGCTTCTTTTTAATAATTCTTGAACTTATTTTAGCTTAAATGTGTTGTTATGCATCCGGACATAGATTTTGACAGATGAGCACGCGAGTTCGATCGAGTTCAGCTCGTAGTGGAATGGAGGCAATTTTAAGATAGTTTTATTGTTGTCTTTTACGTACTTATCTATTACATATGTATCGTATTGCAATTTCAATGCCTAGACTTTTTCCAATAACAGCGCTTTTATTGTTGGCTGGATAACAATTTCACCTTTACTTTCCAGCCAATTTATAATATCTTCTTTTTTCCAAAACATTACTGGAATTCGATATTTCTTAACCAAATGATACGGATCCATTACAATTACGGCATTTTCTTTAAGTAATGGCAACATTTTTACAATCCATTTAAAGAAAGTATCACCATTAATTTCATCGTGATAATCTGATGAGATTTTGATTCGAAACACAAAAGGCCCCCAGGAACAAAGCCGTCAGCCGATTCGATGTGCAATACTAGTCGCTTATCTTTACCTGAGGGTTCCTTTTGTCCTGTGTCCTGAGGCTTCTAAGGAATGCTTCACGTGGTGAATTTACCATACTGTCGACCCATGTTTTGTTATGTGTTTCACCTGCGTTGACCCACGTCTCATCCAAGTAATATATTGGTCTATTTTGTTCCAAATATTTTCGGTGCCAATGTTGTCTTCTCTTTCTATAAGTGCTCTACAACGAGATTTTTTGACATAAATAAATTGCAGATCTTTCAGAATTTTTGAAATGAGGAACGTTTGGGTTCGGTAAAGTTTCGTCTTCATTAATGGTTATTAATATTTTCGCAATTTCACAGTTCAATCAAAAGCCATATATTTTTCGCCTAATGACACTTTTATCAAAATTGATAACTTTCTCAAGTATTGTATATTTGATCTTTTTCTTATTAGGAGATGAAACTGTACCTTCATTTTTATATTTGGCCAATGTTGTTTTAATCGTACGTTGTCCAATACCACTTGACTTGGAATTTTCGATAAGCATTTGTCTATAGATCAATCAGGGGCTGTCTGGGTTTTGAAGTTGTTGCTTGACTTAATCTTTGTACAGATTTATAACGATCTGCTTTTGAGCAGTAACAACAAATTAAAGAAAATAATGTATACATTTAAAAATTAAGAATTCGCAATAGAAAAATGGTCATACCAACACTTAATCTTCCGGAAGGAGAAATCTCGACGGGGTCCATGTTATATTTTGTAGTCTAAGTACTAATATAGTAAACACTAAAACAAGTAAAAACGAAAAACTTGTCGTATGTACACGAAAACGTAAAAACATAAAGGAAAACAGTACACGCTGTATAAACATAACTACCGACACAATATGACAACGGCGGCTGCGGCGGTGGTAAGCCGTCGGTGAGTGATGGTGGTGCAGACGGTGGCGGCGGTGGCCAGCGTTCAAGGAGGTTTAGTGGTGGGAATGCGCGAGAACGGACGAATTTCGGTCGCCGCGCAGTAGCGTTTTCTCGCTGGCCGAAGTATAGAACCTACATTTCATTATTAATCGTGATAAGAAACTAGCGCTACCTATAGTCAATTGAAATTTCCAATAAATGTGTGATACATTACGATTTTCAGAAAAATAGATTCTACAGAATGGCTATCTTAAAATTTTCAGAAATAATAAAATAAAAAGTTATTTTTTTAATAAAAAAAATTAATTTAAATTTAAATATTTGGAGTCCTCATCCCTGTGAGTAATATAAAACAAAACAAAATGTGATTATCTTTATTATCTCCGGAGATATTCAAGGGGTATATATTTGTTGGACAGCCTGTATGCAACCCAATTTGTTTTGTGTAGGTGTGTGTATACACACCCCTCGCATTTGTCCGGGAATACGATCGATAAAGGTTCTAAATTGCGTCTGCGCTGTAAACGCCATTATTATAATAGGAATAGGCAACGCCCGTAGGAGTTAGCTGTAAATTAAATTTGTGTGCATCATTGCGTTAATATAGGAATTCTGGTTCCGTCAAAATAATCATTTCTCTCTATAGAATAATAAAATTGTTGTCAGTCCAACTACGCGTGTAAATATTAAATTCTTATTATTTTTATTACCTATTTTACAGCAGATACCTATATAATATTATTTTCATAATGTTATAGAGATTATATTGGATAAACAATGCCAGCTCAATGCACCAGGTTCCTGTTAAATCTCATGAACCAATGTAAGTTACGTTTTTCTGTCTACGTGCCATATTTCGCGGTAGGATTGGGTGTCGTATTAATTTACTATAAGTACAAAAACGGCTCTACTAATAGTAATTCGTCGCAGCCACCGAATGAATTAAACGAAGCCGAACTTCAGGCTCCATTAAAAGAAGAGGTACACTGTTTTTAATATTATTTTCGCGATTGTAAAAATAAAGCATATAATGAAACCTTTCTATATTAATTGGTTTGTTGTTTTCTGTATACCTACGTACTTACTGCAGGCTGCCAAGGAAAAAATCAAAATGCTTGACTACATAAATTTAGGAAACAGTTCATTGGAGATGGGATCTTATGAGGACGCCATTGAATATTATACAAAATATTTATTGCTGTGCCCCCAATCCGATCGCCTATTGAGTGCTCATGTATTTCATAGTCGAGCTACGGCATACTACAACATGGTGAACATTTATTTATAAAACTACATTTATAGATTAATATAAATGGGCACATAATACGTCCTAAGTGATAGGAGCAAGAAAAGGCCCTACACCTTAGCTTTCAGAAATACCTAACAGATTGAAAATGTTTATACAAATATATCTCACCTCCCCCATAGATAAAATGTTTTGGACTTATATGCGAATGGAGATTTTAACATTTTTCCAACATTATTATAAATAATAACTTATACTTATTTTTCTTTTTAGAATTTGTTAAAGGAATGTTTGGCAGATTGTGACAAAGTACTGGAATTTTTACCAACAAATAAAGACACTTTATTTCTCAGAGCAAGGGTATTAATGGGCATGAAAAATTTGAAACTCGCTGCAGAAGATGCTACAGTATTTTTACTGACAAAAGATAATATGCTCCATTCTAACGAAGATATTACATATGCATTTTTTGTAATAACTGCTTTTGGTAAGATATTTCAATATCATAGTATGAAACATTAATGAAACCATTTTTTTTTTTTTTTTCATAATGATTGGATTGGTAAAATATTTTAATTTTAACTTTATATGATAACTGTTTTACAACTAACTAATTAGGAAATTACTTACATATCACAAATTAAGACATACTTAAACTAAATATATCTTATTCCTGTTACACATTATATTTAATTTGTTATTTTCTTCTAAGTAGTTATTTTCATACTCTTTAGGAAATTAAATTAATCTTAAAATATTTTAATTAGTTCAGTAGGTATCTATTTTATTTATGTAAAACAATTTTCGTAATTCAATACACTCCATGTAGTGGTACATAAGAGTATTCATTTTGTTATGTGATGAAATTCACGTACATATGTATGTATACCAAAGTGGTAACTTGGGATCTAGAGGTCTTGTACTCTGTACCCTCCCTCCTCTTAAATCATAAATTAAAAATAGAAAAAAGTTAACAATATAGTAACATAATTTAACAAGCAAAACAAATTATACATTAATATGCACTAAATTAGTATATATATAATATGTGTTAAGTATTAGATCACTAAGTAAGCATATGACTAAAAAAATAATACAATTTTATTTACAATACCAAATGTATATTATTTATTTATATTTTTTTCAGCAAATCTATATATTTATAACATCAACTAATATAATTATTGATTTATGCATGTTTAGAAGTGCAAAGAATGATAGGTGTATCCTGCCTTCATTCAAAATCTTTATCAATGTTTTATTCTAAATAATAAAATCTGCAAATTTAAAATATTTACATTAATTAAGGACAAATGATAATATTGGTATAAAATATATAAATAATATGCAATGAATTTGATATGAAGATTTGAAAAAAACAATTATGAAAGTCAAAATTACATAAAAAAAAACGTGAATAGTTAAAGTTCCAGAAATTTACTCGTCTATAATTAAATTTAAATTAAAAAAAAAACATTAAAATGCAACATGTTGGAAATATAGTGAACTAACATACTCAATTTTATTGAATAGACAAATCATATGTTTAAATTATCACAATCACTTGTTCACTTCATGTTATTAAAATTACTTATTAAATTTACAACTCTAGTAATAATCAAAGTAAAAAAGATGAGATAACTAAGATAAAATAATTAAATAATTATTAATCTTTTTATCTAATATATTTATTTGTATTAATAGTTTATTTTTATATATGTATACAGAAAAAAAGGAGATTACTGTCATCACCTTTTCCATCAAATACTCATAAATATCTCTTTATTCAAAGTAGTTAAGCAGCCACAAATATTTTAATTTTTTTTTTTTAAAAAAATTGAATTAGTTGATTTGTTGTAACTTTTTAAAGATTTTTTTTGTCAACTGAATTTTTGCATTCAAACTCTTTAATTTTATTGAACATTATACCAATCATTCAAATTATATTTATTTATTTAGTTAGGTATGCTTAGATAGTTAATACAACTAAACAAATGGAATTTAATAATAAAAGGTACTTTTGTACATTTATAATAAATAAAATAAAAAATTAATTTTTAATGTTCAAATCGTAATCAGTTCATAAAATATGTTACTACAAAATCATAACTAATTATTTATAGATGAGGAAACAATTCAGAACTTTCGAGATACTAAAGATTCAAATTTGTTGTTAATCAAACAAATCAAAGAAATTACCAATTATAAGGAATCATTCATTGATGAAACATTGAACGCTGTTGATCCAAAAGTATTAGACAAAGAACTGATCAAGTGAGTTGTTTTTAAGTTATCTACCTATAATACCCATCAGTAATGTCCAAACTATTTGATTAAACTATGAAAGGGTAGAGATTGATTAACATAGCATAAGTAGTGGTAGTTTGAAAGCACTATAGTGCTGTATTTTAAAAATTAAATTAATTCCATAGAAATTTAATTACATCATACTCCAAATTTGATATTTTAAGAGAGAATTTATATAAGGTATTAGTGTATGTATACTATGCATATAGGTGAGAAATATTAACTATTAAATAAAAGATGGCGTGAGATTTATAAAGGTAGTGTGATAAAATATGAAAAATATAGTTTGTGTACCACTGCCTTATAAGTATCTACTTTATTTTGTATAATAGTACATAATAAGACAATGAAAATTGAATGGTAGTTGAGTTTCAAGACTCAAATCAAATTTAGTAAACAAAATAGGTACTATTATAAAAATGTATTTTCTTGAATTAATTTCGTTGCTGTCCTTGATAGCTATTATCTTTACTGTAAGATTGGTACTTAATTATTTAGAAATAAGAAAAAAAGCAACTATTTTAATTATTTTATACTATATCAAAGCCTAAATTGCAATAGTTACCTACTAAACATTAACCATTACTGTATGTGCTTAAATGTGTTTCAGAACAAATATAATGGCCTCAATTAAAATTCTCAGCAAATTCATGGATAAGTATAATGCAGATACCAAACGATGTGATCCATCAGATATAATTAAACTCATGCATTTTATTAAACTTCAATTAAAAGCTGCAATACGATTGAAATTAATTCACGAGACCAATTAAACTATTCAATAGAATTTTATTATTTTATTCTTTTAATACTATATACTTAACCAATATTATAATCATACCTATCTCTATGTTTTAACTTTACTAGCATTTTAAAATTTTTATAATATCTAAAATAAAACTAAAGGATTTTTATTATTTAGATTAGGTATATATATATTATACATATACTTAGATTATTTATATTATTTATATTATTTAGATTAGGTATATATATATTATACATATACTTAGATTATTTATATTATTTAGATTACTTATGTAGTTAACACTACATTAAGTATAGTATATACTATACACCTAAATCTAATATTTTATTATTTAAAAATTGTATTGCACCAATATTTCAAAGAACATTAAAAAAAGCACTTGAATTTAGATCATTGTGTTATCTTATCTAGTGTTCATTATTATGTTTCATTTCACTTTGTGTGAAGTCCAGGAAATTCTCAATTTGTGATTTAATTTTTGGAGAATTAGATGTTCCTATAAAATGTGACGGTGCCAGCTTCCAGTTCATAACAAATGTTCTAAACTCTCTTCTACCTAAATTAAATGTTTGTCTGCAAAGAATTATATTTTAAAGTATTTTTGTGAAGCTTGTGATCTTGACCTTAAGAGATTCCTGATCTAAAACGTCTAGTGCAGAAACTATTAGTTGAAGTTGATAAATTAAATTCAAAATATTTGAATGCTTCTTCTAATATTGGATATAAAAAATGTATTACAAATGAAATTAACCAGTATCAATTAAGTGTAACTAATCTTATTTTCTATTATGTTGTGTAAAGTACAGCTATACTAGTAAATGATAAGATTGTCCATAACCTTGATCAGGTCAATTTTGTGTTACAATCTATTATGAACAATTTGGTCATTAAGCCATTAAAGGCAATTCGACTGAGTCGTTATCAACAAGATAAGTCTCAGCCATTGAAAGTTATATTTAGTACTATAACCAAAACATATAATATCTTTAAAAATAAGAAAAAATTATCAAATTTAACTCCTCCATCATCAGTCAGTTTTAGTACAGATAGAACTGTTCATCAGAGGGATTTAATGCGTTAACTTCGCGATAAACTTTCTACATGGAAATCTAATGGCAAAGTTGGTATTTTAATTAAATTTATTAAAGGTATCTTAAGTTTACCAGATAGTTTCGTGTATAATGGTACTAGTTCTGGGAGTAAGAAGGAGTAGACTACTTTTTTTTAAAGATTACTTCGCATTAGTTTATGTTGAGGATTCTTTGAGGAAAGAGGTTTTATCTTATTCAAATTCACAAAATTGGTAATTAGTCTGATATCTGTAACTATATTTCACCTATTTAAAAAATGTCTATTAAGCCTAAAATCTTTGAAAAATCATTCAAATCATTACTGTTAAACTATCAAATTTAATAAATAATTGCTTATCCAGTTACCAGCATGGATTTCGTTTTAAATATTTAATTATAATTAATAATTTAACTTTTCAAACTGATATTTTAAACAGTGTTAATGTTAAATATGGATAACATATTGATTGTACATAAACATATTCAATAAAGTTAACCATCGACTTTTATTAATTAAATTAAATTATTATAATGTCCATGGCGTATTTTTGAAGTGGGTTGAGTTTTATTTGCATTGTTGTACATCATACAATGGTTGACTTTACGGTTGATGTCAATTTATCAGAAATTGTTAAACAGAATATTGTTGAGTCTGAGATAGTTTGTATTCTAATATAATAATTGTGTATCATGAACACTAATTCAATATATAATAAACAATAAAAAAATAAAATAAATATTATATGAATTATATAGTTGAATGATTAATGAGTAATTGAGTTCACTTAAAAAAAGTGCATTACCCTGTAAACATAATATTTATGAAAAGTTCATGAATTAGTTTATATAAAAATAAGTTTACTAAAATATAATTTTAAATTTATATTTCAACTTTTAGATTCAATTGGTTGATACTGATGTCAATTTAGTGAAGAATATTAACAAAGAACTAGAGATTTTTGTTCAAACAAATAAAAAAAATATACCATTTGTTATGTGAATATAACGTTTTATAATTGGGGTGATCCTGCTAATTAATTTATAATTAATAAACTTAAACACGTGGACAGAGTTCGTAACAATAATGTTGGTACTGAACGAAATTTGTCATCTCTTATCCAATTAGAACATTCTTTAAGTGTATTTAAATTTTCTAATGTCACCGTATACTCACCAGAAATTAATAAATCATTAATATTTATTGGATTAGCTGGTGGTTTTTGTTTGATAGCCTTTATGGTTTTAAATCCATGTTGGGTAACTGACCACTTGAGTAATCAAATTTCAGATAGATAATTCAGTTGTTTTTACTTTTTCTTTTATATTTGTTACAACCTATTTAACTGAGACTTTGGAAATATCTAGAGAGGGTGAATAATGAACCGCTTTTTTTATTTATCCTTAAATAATAATGTTCAAAATAATTTAAATAAAATATCAATAATAAAAAAAAAAATGTACTTAAATCATCTTGACTGGTTGTATAACATGAGGTGCCTTTGTATTTTTGGGACTCAGTACAACATCAAATAAATTTATTCACACCTTTTTTATAAAAAAAATGAAGGTACCCATTACTTAACAATACATTTTTATTTTTTTGACTTAAAATAAATTGTAGAGGAGTTATTGATGTTGCTCACTCACTTCTGCTTTTTACACACTGCAGTCGCTATCTATAATTTTTCTGAAAATTATCATTTGTCATTGTTACCAATGATAGTTATAGGCATACATAGGTATTTGTTTTCTTAATATCCGTGTAATTTGGGCATTTGGCGATAAGGAACTGATACGCCAGCAATAGCAAAGCTTGCTGCTTGGCGATTGCAGTTACTAAATTAGTATTTGAAAATTCCTAATATTTTTAAAATATTATCTAATAATAGCTGTGATATAAAATATTATTATTTATAAACTAATCTAGACTAACTTATCCAGGGGTTCACCACATATAATTCAAACAATAAGTTCTAACCTTGTAAAACAGTGTTTCATTGTGTTAAGTACTGAACACAGGTATTAAAGTCTCTTAGACTTGCAAAATGTAACCTAAAGCCCTTTATTTATATCAGTCCAAAATACCAGCTAGTGTAGTAGGAATAGCCAACCAACTGCTCCAACTAAGTGAATAGGATTAAGTAAAAGATCAATAGCCTCTAAATTCCATTGCAGAAACCAAGGAAGGTTGTTGCAATAATAATATAAGGTAAAGCTAATAAATATTAATGTAATAATAAAGTAAATCAAAATTATTAAATGGTTAATAAATAAATGGAGTATTATGATATTTAAATCACAAAGTCAAAAGTAAAGTAGGTGATTTACCTGTTGATGAATTTTTAATTTGAAACTGGTTGTACAATACATATTATATAATTAATAAATATTATAATATTAAAAAATTCTTAAAAGTATTATATATTTAGACATTTTTGACATAAAAATTAAATAGTAAATCTTTTTTTATACTAGCTATCAAGGAAAACTAATGTATATAATATATCTATAATTTTAAATTAACAAAATAAACAAAAAAAGGCATTTTTAATTTAAAATTACTCCGTGTGCTTTAAGTTTTTCCAACAAACGAAAATGAATATGGATATCACGTTGATAGTCATCTTTGGTCCACTGTAAAATAATAAAATTATTTTTTAAATATTGTTTGGCACAAAGCAAGGTTCACTAAAAATTGTATAATTTTTTCAATTGTAATTTTAATCAGATTCCACAATGCAAATACATTATAAGTTAAATTCATAATTGTATATATTTTTAACTGTTAACAAAAAAAAAAAAACAAATTACAGAAGTGACTTATACTTTTCATGTACCATAATTTTAAGAAAATAATAAATAGCCAAACATAATTATGAAAAATGACTGAATTAAACTAGGAATTATAAATTATAATCTATTTTAAAAATATTACTGATTTTATATTACAAAATTGGTCTAATTTATTCTTCAGTCAATTGCAAGAGAACAGTTCATAACATGAATTATTCAAAACCACAATAAGAAAAAACAAGTAATGAATGACATGGAGGGAACCACTATTTGCATAGATATTCAAACAATAATTAACTCAATGAAAAAAAAAAAAAAAAAAAAAAAAAAAAAACAGAACTGTATATATTTACATTAAAAAGCAAGTAAAATTTGAAATTGAATTGTTTTTAAATGATGACAAAATTATAATTATTGAACTGAAATTAATTCAACAGAATTATAAATATAATCATTTCAACAGAAAAAATTATATTTTGTAGAAAAACATGCTTTAATACCAGGCACAAGCACATCAGTGGGTCCAAACATTTTAAAATTCTTACCAAAATAGGCTTATAGCCAAGTTTTGTTAATTGCCTAATTTTACATGCTGTCAGACCATTATATTCATCGCTATGGAATAAAATTGAATTTCTCACAAGAATCATAATGGCAAACCATTTTCCTAATTCTGGTGGTTTTTTAAATTCATTGAACACAATTTTATTTTTCATAATTTCTGGAATAATAATTGGTCTGCCCTTTGTATCAATACAAAATAATATATCTGTTAATTACAAAAATCATATACAAATTAGTAATAGAAAACATAAAAACATATAAACAATAGACTTGAAATTTATTTACTTGTTTTAGGTGACATTTTTTAAATTATTTAAGCCATTTTTGAGTTACTTATAGACATTTTAATTTAGCAAATTTGTTCACATAATTTTTATTTGGTAGATACTCAGAATAAACAGAAATTCATAATTATTGAATAAAAAAAAAAATTAATTTAAGATTGCTCAGAATTCTTTTTCATTAGCAATGATTTATCATTGCTTATATATATAATTAAATAATTGTTTGTATCCTATCTTCCTAACTCCTCGCCTGCAACAGTGGCATACCAGTCTCCAGTATCACCTTTTTTTTAAAAACTTAGAACATCAAAAATTTACTAAAATGATAGATTTTAAATTTAATACACACCAACATGTAATTAGTATATAAACATAATGCCAGAAATTTTAAGGACACGTTTTGAAGAAAATATTATTTATAAGATATAATTTCTTAACATTTTTTGAATATCAAAAATATAAAGTGTAAACATCAAATATTGACGTTTTTTTTTTACTACAGCCTTTTTGAGGTTCTTTTACAAAATATGTACAAAAATTATTTGTAAAAAGTACCTAATGAAATTATATACCCAAGACACAAAATAAATTTAAATTATTTTGATTAATTTAAATAAGAACCATCCTAATAAATACTTGCCTGTCTTTGGATGATGTGGCAGAGGATAACATACATGAAGATAAGCTTCATTCTTAAATAATAGCAAAAGTTCCCTGTATAGTTTTAAGAAATTTCTGTCAGCAACTGTTTTTTTAACAGTTATGCTTGAAGTAGGTATGTGCGAAGCTGTATGCTAAAAAATATATACAGTATAAATAAAATGTAAGTTAAAAACTCTTCTACAAACATAAAAAATATTAATTTTTAAAAAAGGGATATTAATATTTTCTTCATTAATTGACATATTATAAATTTGTAATAATAGGTATAACTATTAGTCATATTTACCATAAATATTTTTGAAATTTATTAAATCTTAATATATAATGTAATAACAAAATTCTAATTTATAAACTAAAATCAACTATTTTTTGGTTTTCTTTTAATTTAATGATAGTTGTATAGATAATAACTTACGAACTGGAAGGTTAATGGTAAAGTTAAAATTCCCATATTATTAATAAACCTTTCTTTATGTTATTTACTTATCTTGTTACATTTTATAATATTTCACAAATATATCACAGAGGTTATGAAACAGTGAATATATCAAAAGTTACTATGTTATACATTTTAATAGTAATATAGTTGAATTCACTTAAATAAATTATAATATTATATAAGAAAAAAAAAACTTTTTTTTTTTTAAAATTACTATTGAATCTTAAAAATTCAAAAAAATATATAAATTTAAATATAATGTTAATATATATAATATTTTTTACAAAACAAGTATAAAATGTTTATTATATTAAACAATAAACAATCATTTTCTTTAACAAAAAATGATTGCAAGAAAAGTTGTACTTATACATTGAAATTAGAGTGTGAGTTAATAACCCACACTTATAACTATATGTATATTTAATAATGCCTGTGTAATTTGAATAATACCAATATTTTAGCAAATCAAATCAAATGAAATCATATGTCAGCATGTATATGATATAAGTTACACTGGGTAAAAGGTTTTTTTACATAAACAAGAATGTTTTTAAACTAAATATTAGAGTATAAAAAGTACCAGAATATACATGTACACCTGCATTATTAAATAATTAAGGTTCAACACACAGATTTCATAATTACACATGTATCTGTGTATTTAAGTACACATGAAATCTTAATCCTTAATTTAATTTAATTTATAAAAGATAAAATAAGTATTTATATTAACTGAATTAAACTGATTATTTAGCTTACTTCATTACAAGATTTATTCAGCTCCACTGATAATAATGGGCCAGAGTAATCTGGACATTCAATAATTACACTGTTATTTAAGCTCAGAACATCACGTGGAAGGATGGATTTGGACAATTCTTTTTCTACAAATATAAAATAATATTAAACATTATTTAAATTTTAAAATATATTTTATCAAAACATTCACACAAAACCAATTTATTATAATATTACACAAATGTCACTGTATAATAATTTTAAACATGCCATTTTTAAAAAAGGAATAGCTATTTCGGGGTAGAAAATTAATTATGTTTTCTATTATTATTACACCTATATACTATTTTATAAGAATACAAATGTATATATTATTTAACTTTTAGATTCTGAGTGGAGCAAAGAAGCTAATGGTTTTACAAAGATGCTTATTTTTTTTTCTGTGGACAACTTTTCTACCTGAGGACTTGCTTGATATTTTACATGTAACAACTTTTCTGAAAGGAAATTGGTGTAGTGAAGTACCTTTAAGAGGTAATTTTTTGATTTTCTCAAGTTTTCCTAGTAAATGTGAGAAACTAGGAAAAATGTAAGGAAATTGAGGAAATCAGTACAACATTAAACTAATATTATTATAGAAAATATATAAAGCCTATTTAATTATTTTACTATAAAATAACATATATATTGATGATAAAGCATATCACTATCGACTGAATTCTGCTCAGAATCTTTTTTTATAAGCAATGGTGTATTGTTACTTAAAAATATACATTACATTATCTATAACAGTGGCTGCTTCCATCCCCATTATCCCAGAATGTTTATTTATGCATAAATCTATGAATACTTTACTAATAATTAAGGAAAAATGTATTTATTTACAAGTAGGTAGGTGGTCATATTTTTAAAATATGATATTTATTTATTTTATTTTATATATGATAATTAGCTAGTAATATCAATAGGATAATATAACAAATTAATATTGAACAATAGTATATTCACTGATTTAATGAGTGAAACACAATAAAATTGTACATATTATAATGAGTATATATTAATTTTAACATGAATGTCTTATTATTATTATCATCAAAATTTTCTAACTAGAGAAAATTATGGGAATTAAGTTAATTTTCTTAAATTAGAGATTTTTTTAGACATTAATTTATACACTTCTTTTAAGTTTTTTGTACATTTTATAAAATAATAAATATTAATAATAAAAACTTAAAATAGTATTATTAATTAATGGGTAGGTATATGCAAGTATATTTTTATACCTTGATTTATGTTGTTATTACTTTCATTATCTTATTTATTATTATATGATTTATTAGAGATAGAACTAAATCAGTTAGATCATTAGATTTAATGAATTAAAACAATATTTTAATTAAGTTGTATTTACTATATTCTACATCTTATATAATTAATATGCTGATACAGTGTTTTACTATTGTTTAACTTTACCTTAATATTAAATAAATCATAACTCAAACATTAAAATTACTTCGGTTTATCCAATTAACTTTTTTCACAAATATTTTTCACCAGGAAATTACATTTTTTTAAATTAATACATAAAATACTTTTTTTTATAATTCCAACAGGGTCATCATCATTTAAAGGCCTCGCCTTGGCGTGATAGCCATAAGTCTGTCATTTGCCATGTTTTTCAATTTTGAATATGTTGTGACCTCCATGAGATGTTTGAGGTCTTGGAAATATGGTGTTCTTGGGCGTCCTCTAGATCTTTTCCCCAAGATCTTTCCTTCGAAGATATTTTTCATAAATGTGTTATGTCGGAATAGGTGCCCTATTAATTTCGTTTTCCTTTTTAATATGTGTTTTATTATATTCCTTTTTTCGCTTACATCTTTCAGCACTTGCTCATTTGTTTTCCTTTCAACCCATGATGTTTTGTTCATTTTCTCCAAATCCACATTTCCATTGCTTCTAAGCGGTCCTTTTCCTTTTTCCTGATAGTCCAAGTTTTACATCCATATAGTAACACACTCCACACAAATGTTTTAATGAATTTTTTCTTCGGTTTGATAGTTAATAAACTGTTTTTCTTTATGAATGTTTGTTAAGCTTAAGTTATTCTTTTTTTTATGTCCATAGTGGATGTATTATTATATGTTATTATACTTCCCAGATAGGAGAAATGTTCAACTTCTTGGATTATAATGTTGTTTAATTTTATAACTGGGTTGGTGTATATTTGATCTCTTCGGGTTGTCATTGTTTTTGTTTTGGTAGCGTTTATTTTCATATGAAATTTATCCATAACCCATTATAATGTGTTAAGCATGAGATTCATGCTGTCTTCACTTTCTGCCACCAGTGCAATGTCTTCTGCAAATCTTATACTGTGTACCGCTTCTCCGTTTATTCTTACACCATTGGTGACCTCTTTCATTTCTTCCGTGGTTTCTTCTATGAATAGATTGAACAAATAAGGCGACAAGGGACAGCCTTGTCTCATACCTTTTCTTATATTAGCTTCCTTTATGGTTCTATTTATATCTATCAGTGTTGCTTGATCCTTGTATAGTCTCAGGATAATCCTTCTGTCTTTCCAATCAATTCCTCTTCTTTTTAATGTACCAAACAGCAAGAGCCAATCTACTTTGTCAAAGGCTTTTTCTAAATCTATAAATGTTATATATGTTGGAAGGTCCAACCGTCTTTCTATTATTAGTCTCTATTATTAGTATCGCTTCCCTAGTTCCTCTCTTTCTCATGAACCCAAATTGCTCTTTTCCTAGCTGACCTTCTATTTTCCCTTGTAGCCTATTTTTAATGATGTTAAGAAGTATTTTCGAGGCATGTGATAAATAGTGTAAATGTCCTATAATTAGTACAGTTGGTTGGGTTTCCTTTCTTTTGTATTGTTATTGAGTTACTCTTTATAAAGTCCTTTGGCAACTTCCCTGTTTCGTGGCACTCATTAATAATCTTAAATAACAGTGATTTGGTATGTTCATCCAAATTCTTCAATATTTCTGCAGGTATGTCATCTATACCAGTTGCTTTTTTGTCGGTTAATGTGGTCAGTGCACAATCAAATTCAGTTCTTATCAGAGAAGGTTCTTTGTAATCAGGATTAACTTCTTCCTCATGTTCTAAATAATTCAATTCATCAATAATCTCTTCTCCTTCGTATAGCTCTTCTAAATATTCTTTCCATCGTCCGGCTATCTTTTCATTTTCAAATAGTAAGTTCCCATATTTGTCTTTGATAATATTACTTTTTGTCCTGGGTTTATATTCCAGGCTTTTTACTCTATTATATGCTCTATCCAACAGGTTGTCAAATATATTTAAATAACTATAAAGGATGTGAGGTTGTCAGAAAAAAAAAAATGTTTGATTAAATCCAACAAAAATTTAAAAGTTCAAAACCACTATAATAATCAAGTAACCCTTTGATACTTTAAGGGAGAATGTCTAATGTAACTTATTAAAATTATAAAATATAAAATGTATTATTATTTATATTAATCCATATATTATTTATTTTAAACTCACTATAACATCTAATAAGAGTTTCATATTGTAGTGCCTTTGAAATACAATCATATGGAAATATACCATTCACAGCTAAGGACATTAATGTAGAAATGTAACATTTGGTATAAATTTCAAAATCAATATTTCTTGAATCACTTCTGAGTTCATTGACAACCATTTCAAAAATACAAGGTGTTGTATGTGGATTATAATTCAACATGGTTAATGCCAGTGTTATTCTTTCTATATCCTTAAAAACAATTATAAATTTTATAAAAAATACAAATTTTCACATTAAATTGAATTTTAATTAATTGATTTCACCTTTATTCGTGCCTGTGATATTTTTTTAATCATCTGCTGAGATATTTTCTTCAAAAGCTCTTTGTGCCTGATCAATAAATTGGTACCTAACAATGCCATATGTGTACAACATACTAGATCCACTTTGTCAACTTTTTCTGTTAGGATGTCCATTAGTTTATACATAGAGTCAGCATTTTTATGCATTGTGCAGTATCTGAGTATCTATAACATTAAACATGAATGTCATAAGATTTAGAATAAATAAAGATTATTTATATATAAGATATTTAGATTTAACACAAATACAATAATATTGCCTATAAAATTTTGATAAATAATATTATTTGATTTAGTTGTTATATTATTTTCTGATAATGGTGTTATGTTGAAATGTTCAATATTTCTATTTGAATTAGATAATTCAGTGATACAGCTGGTGTAAAATAAAAAAAGAACACAGTTTCTTGACATGGAGACATGGATTTATCAGACTTTTCTGATAAATTGTAAATGATTACTAACATATTAGCAACAGGTAAAATGTTGACTACGGGTTTTAGGCGCACACAAGTATGTGTCACGAGTTGAGTAATAGTGCACACCCGGTAAGAACATCATCCCAGGGAGGAGTGACCATAATTTGGATACCACATGCCACCAACACGAACCTCACTAGCCTCTCAACTATAGACACCCTCAAGGTGCACAATTTATAATGGTAATATAAGATCATACAAATTATTTAAATAGTGTCTTTTAAATAAATATCACACAAGCAAATAAGGCATCAGTAATCTTACAATACAAAAATGCCTCTGTCCAGAGCCTGATGTAAAAGAAAATATGCTAAAATGAAATAAATTAATAAAACAATATGAGAGTCCAAAAATTAAAATATATTTAAAAACAAAAATATAATATGCTTGCGACTATATTATGTTAAAAGTATATGGGCCAAGCATTGTAAATGATATTGATAAAAATGAAAAACCTGGTGCATTCAAAAAAGTTTTTGTTATTTCGGATATCAAATTTATACGTACTACTAAAAAATTAAAAAGACTTGAATATGAAAAATGTTTGTAGATTTTAAAGGTTAAATACATATAGACTATATGGTGGATTATGGAGTATATCTTCATGATATTAATTAACTTATATTTTTATCTAATTAATTGCTCTGAAAACCTAATAGATATAATCATGGATTATATTATAATAATAGTACTTTTTATGATCATTGCAGTGTGAAATTGTAGGAATTTATGATTTGGTTTAAACCGCCCAAAGCCAAAAAAATAATCACGTAATATTATATTATAGGTAATTTATTGTTTAATTTGAAAGAATGTTGTTGAGCAAAATTTTTGGCCTGATATACTATTGGGGATCTAGGAAAATTTGAATAATGGAAAAATGACAATGTATACCAATTGTATGAAAAACCAACCAATATTTAATATTAATAATAATAATCAACTACCATGTTTTGTGAATATTTTTATTTGTTTTATTAACTAATAGTACCTATATGTGTTTGATTATTAAGAAAACAATTTTTCTTATTTTTCAAAAAAATTATAGTTAGGTATAAAAAAAAAGGTTATTATAATATAATAACCTTCCCTTTTATACATACCATGTATTATTTTTTAACCCCTTTCCTCCCAGAACAAAATTGAATACACACCACTGTATCAATGGTATAATATGCATTATTATTTTAAATCATTAAATCAATATTACTTGTTTATTTTTTGTTTTTTACAAATACCTTTAAAAATGCTGCTAACTCGTAACTATTAATGTTTATAATTTGATTAATTATGGAAGTGTACAGATTTTTCACCAGTTCCTGACTCTGTATATGTGTTTGAGTTTTGAAGAAACCTAAAGATATTATACCCAATTCCTTAATATTAAATTCATTATAATTTGAACAAATATGTTGTTCAATATCATACATTGGAAGTGAGGGTGAAAATTTTCTACTGGCATTTGCATAAAACATCATCTGAACCAATTGCTTGGGAGTCAATCTGAAAGAACCAAAGATAAAATTGTTAATACTTTTTTCTATATGCTAGTTATTTTTACAAATTTTTTTTTTTAAATTTGGTCTTATAAATATATAAGTAAATAATATTAGTACCTACCTATATGATAATATCATATTCACAATATGAAAATAAAATTAACTATCATGTGTATATTAATATGAACAGTGAATAGATAAAAAATAGTTTTATGGAAGGCCATAAACTGGCTTAAATTGAAAGTTAATTTTTACTAAACATTAACCTGTTGTTAATATAAAAATTAAACTATATTCTGCATTCCTAATGTAGTAGTAGATCTCTTATTTATGGTAGTAAAAAGGCAATTTTAAAAAAGCAAATGAAGAAAGGCATATGGAAAATGAGCAATAGGTACATGTTTTTTAAATATTATTTTTAATAGCTATATTATTATTATATTTTATATTATTCATTTTTCATTACTGCATATAATTGTATTACCTAGCTGTTATTGACTGTAGTTTAGAACAGTGTGTATAAGTTTATGACATAAATAGCAAAACTAATTTAAAAATGTTAAAAAAAGTGGGACTCACTGTATACTTATATAGAATAATATAAAAACAAATATATATTCTTTTTTGTACCTATATTTGTTTCAACTGTATATATTTCCTAGATTCTTTAATTACAACTACAATAAAATGCACATATTACATCAAATAACTACTAAAATATTTATGATTTTTACTAAAACAGGTTAAAATATAATGTTTGTACAGTTTGGTCGCTTTCGATTGATAAAATAATATTGTTAATTAAAATTTCGCATAGATACATTTTCATAATAAAAAGTGTACCGAGGTACCCATCCGACAAACCTACCTAAAGGGTTTACTGGCCAATTTACTGACGCCTACCATTACAAATTCACTGAACCTCAATAAATTCATTATGTACCAATGATCCATGACCAATAAAAGTTTGTCTACACTCCAATTTTGATGTCTCTCGATACACTGCTCGTCAAACAACGACCACAATTTTTTATATTTGGGATCGTTCACGTCTTTCGTGTTCCACAGCGAAATTAGTTTGAATACGGCGATCAACTGATCGTCGGTCATGGTCGGTAGGACAGCAACCAATTGTTCGCGTAATGTGTCCAAAGTCGCGTCCACCAGAGCGAAACCACTGCTGATCGCGTAAGCGGTAACCTTTTGGAAATCATCGCACGTCTTCTCGGCTGTGCTCGGCCGAAAGTTTTCGGCGATCAGGTCGCGAAATTGGGCTTCCGTTACGGTGGGCAAATCTATTCGGTTATCACGACTAACGACAGTTCTGCTATACGCAGGATCGTTCACCATGGTATTGTGCGCGTTCGAATTTTCGTTGTCAATGAACACGGCTGAGGAACGTTTGAACGATGACGAGTACACAGAATGTGGTCTAGTCGGTCGAACGACAAGTCCAAAAACAGGTGCGATGAGCGTGTCGATTTTTCTCGGACATGTGCATCCGAGAGTCACAAGACGACTCAAAACACGGCGCATGTTTAATGTCAGCCGAATTTTCGAACGAAATAAACTGGACCAAGACTACCAATACCGGTATAAGAATATTATATGTAATTACTGCTCATTCATCAGGAGTACTTTTCAAAAATATCAAACCCGGTCTATTCGTGTTTGATAACTTGAGTACTTTACAGTTTACTGTTAACACCGACGTTTGATAAAATTCGGCAAGTGATAAGTAAAAACCATAACTTTGCTACCATAGATAATAAAGATGATAATTTTTATTATCTATTGTCTATTATTAAAAAATATATTACTATGTGTCTGGGATGGTCCCTATTATTTATTTCTGTGTGTTTAAGTTCAGTTACCTGTTCAATTAATAGTGATGCTTAGCCAACAATATATATGTCGTATTATGGTAAAATAATTAAATAGGTATTATATATTTGCTTTAATAATATTTGTATTGATTTTCCTGTCTTCCCTGATTATTCACAGCTAAGAAAACTCTTGGAAAATGTTAAAAATGACTTCCATAAAGTACCTTCCCAGTCAGATTTACTTTTAGAGGAAGTGTAATCATTGTAAAACGAAGCAAAATTGTTGGTAGAGTTGTAAGCAGAAAAAAAAAGCCATAATATTTTTTCACTAATATCTTCACTTTGTAGATTTTCCGTTTTCCGACATTTTATTCCAGTTTTTCTCAGTTATTATGAAAACCGATTGAAAAATCACAAAAAATACCTCTTTAAACTATGGAGATAAAATTTCCTTTCAGAAAATAAGCTGCACTTGATACATAGGAGCAAGATTTTTGGTGAAAATTTGCACAACTAATCCAGGGGTATTTTTTGATTAAAATTGTCCAAGCAAGTGATAGCTAGGTCTTTAGGTACACTTAAAATGCATTTTTTTTCCCTATTTAGCTAAATGGGGGAAAAAAAAGTGCAAACAATTTCTTTTCATACCCCGGGTTTAGTAGACCCATGTTTCTCAATATGTATTCATGACCATTCGACTACAACAAACGTATAGTAGAGTAGACAATATAGATTTATTTAACATCAATATGTAATATCTGAATAATATCTGAATTTCAAAAAGCTATAATTTTGAAACTTATTCAGTCTGCACAATTCTCGGCTTTACTATGCTTTTTAAATCGGCAATACACATATTTTTGAAAAAAAAAAAAAATGAAAAATTAGATTAGTTCCACATAATTTTTACTCAAACAATTTTCATCAAAATGTAGAATTAAAATTTCTTTATAAAAACAAATACTACAATAAACTCAATTTTTTTTTTACCACAAAGTAAGATTTAATGCATTTAAGTATTTCTGTTAAGCCTAACGATTTTACCACAGAATACTTTTGTGATAAGTATTATAGATATTATAACTCGCGGTGGTGACGACAACAGCACGCGGCTTACAGAATTGTTCGGCGACGGCATACAATTGTTTCTGATCAATCAAGTAGAGGGTTGGGCAATGTCAGTGCTCAAATTTTTCAAGCTTTTTTTAACTTTTTTAATTTTAATTTATAAATGAATAATAACATAATCAAGGTATACTTTGAACAAAAATCAGTCAAATTTATATTGTACTTAGAAAAACAACTAAATTTTAAATTACAAAATATACATGATAAGTAATAAATATATAAAACTAAGTTTTTTTTTAATTTAAATTTATTGCATGGATTTTCAGTTGTTCATAGACTAATTGTTGAATATCATACTCTTTTCCAAATTCATTGAAGTTAAACTGCAAATTAATAAAATTATGATCAATTCAAAATTAAATTAAATAATATTATAATTTATAATCTAGTTTGTATGATTAAAATATAAAGAATATTAGTTGCATATTTTTTAAATTTTAAATTAACTTTACCAAAATTGGTTCGTAGCCAAGTTTCTTTAGTTGTCTGATTTTACATATTGTTGGACCATTTATCTTATTACTATCATGTAACACCGATTTTCTTGTAATGATCATAATTGCAAACCATTTTCCTAATTCTGGTGGTTTTTCAAAATTGTTGAATACAGTTTTATTTTTCATAGTTTCTGGAATAGTCACTGGTCTACCTTCAGTATCCACGCAAAACAATATATCTAGGAACAATAAAATACCACAAATTGTAGAGGTGAAAATGAATACATACCTTAAATGTAATAAATAATTACCAGATATTGGATGATGTGGCAGAGGATAACATACATGTAGATAAGCTTCATTTTTAAATAATTGCACAAATTCTCTGTATAGTTTTAAAAAATTGTTGACAGAGACTGTTTGTTTAGGAAATTTATCGGAAATAGGTATGTGCCAAGCTAAATGCTAAAAAAATAAATACAGTATGATTACAAAAGTAATAATTAGCATAGGACCAGACAGTCTTTTTTTTTTTTTACATATGTCCAGTCTTTGCCATTGTGGGTGTCTAGCATTTATATTATTAAATATGAACATTTCTCATCAAACAGAACATTAATTGTTTATAATTGAGAGTAGCTGTTTTCAAGATAATATGTATAGTGTGATTAGTGATTATGTTTCTAAGTAACACTAAATATTTTAGGTAGATGACATTAGATTTGAATTTATGCCCAATATAACTTACTCTTTTTAAATGACCCATTTTTTTAACAGATTTATAAAGACCTACTTTTTTTTAACAATTTGTATAAAAAAAAACGTTTTAATTAAATCAAAATTGATCAGTTCTTTTGTATTTTATATTTTTTTTTTTTGCCTATGAACAACTTTTCTACTAGGCTTATTAGGAACATTTTGGGATGGATGTGAAATGTGTCAACTAACCAATTGTTCCAAACAAACGATTGGTTTTAATATACAACCAGTCTGTCCCTATACATATTGTTTCAACAACCCGATTATATCAATTATCCATGTTCCTAATAAACGGCTTTTACTGAAGTTGCATTTTATACAACAAAACAGGCAAGAAGAAAATAGCACAGCTGGGTTTCAGGGGAGAACTTGTAAATGTGTATACAAAAAAATATAAAACAATGTCTAAAGTAATAGGAAAATCTAACAATTTTACTACAAAATACCTACTAAATAAAAATTACATACAAAACTTGCGGAATTAAAATACTATAATTATTCTAATATAGTAATATATTATAACCAGTAATTTCCGCATGAATACAATTACTATGAAAAAAAAGTAGCCTGCTTAAATGTTAGCACCTCTATTAAAAAACTAAAAAAGGCTTCACTGCTGAGCATGGTTTTAACCATAGATAGAGAATTAGATAATAGTAACAATAATAAGGTTATAAAGAGATATTATGATTAGATATTTTTAAAGAGAAGTAGGTACTCAAATAATTAATAATAATGCCCAATAATTTAACTTACTTCGTTACATGATACTTTTAATACATCTGGTAACAATGGACCAGAATAGTCTGGACATTCTATAAGCAAACTATTATTTAATGATACAATATCACGTGGAACAGAAAATCTAGATAGCCGTTTTCCTTAAAAAAAAAAAAGTCATAATTAAAACATACACTATTAAAATATTTCTAAATAACAATTTTAGAAAGAAGAAATTAAGTCCCCCTTGAAATCATATAAAGACTAATAATATGGAATATATAATTATTAATTAATTAGCAAATTAAATAAATCTTAGTGAAATATTGAGGAGAAATCCAAAGAAGAATCATTTAAAGATTGCTGTTTGTTAATACAATGCAAATAATTTAAATTGTAAATTGTAAATATAAATTAATCCTGAAAAGTAAGTATTTATTTCAATATTAATACAATATCATGTTCTATAAACAAATGACTCAAAAAATTAATAAGATATTCAATTATTCTCTTACAAGATTTTCTCATTTTGTGTTTCTGTGGTTCCTCAGTTCAGAGTGTATGATTATTTGTTTTTATTTTTAATATGTAGTGAAGAATGAATTGGTTTTACAATGTTTATTTTATTTTTTTTATATAAATCTTGCTTCTATATATAAATGTAGTACCATTTTTTAAAGGAAATTTTGTCTAGATAGTACTCTAGATAAACTTTTTGATTTTCCAAGCAGTTTTCAGATTTGAAATTTGGACATAAAAATTATAATTACCTTTTCTAAACATGGTAACATTTTCAAAATACTAGGTGGATATAATTGTTAGACTTAAAATAATAAAAATACAAAAATACTTGAAAATTTAATAACAGGTTCATTCAAAAGTCTTACTTAGTGGTCCGTGCAAATTGTTCAATATTTTTTTTCCAGCATATAAATATATTACTGATTTAAGAATGATGGTGAGGTCAGAATTGAGCAGACTGACTGAGGTTCAAATTTATATAAGTTATGAAATTATGTGTATTGTATGTGTCATGTTATAACTCAATACTATCAATTTTGTAATATGTCTGTTGTAGTGTAGTGATAGTATGTATCTGTTATTTTTCTAGAAATTACTAGTTCAAAATCAAGTCCCGAAATTGTTTGCAAAATTACTTTAGGTAGGTAAAAGGAAATAGGACGTATATTATTGAAAAAAACAATACTATTAACCAAGTTCTGCTTAAAATTGTTTTTCTTTAGAGCTGATTAATCATTGCTTATAGACAATAGACATATGTAAAATTTAATAATTTGGGGGGGGGGGAGAGAACATGGAAAAACCGATAAAATATTAAACAAATATTATTAAAAAAAAATATGTCTATTTATTATTATTTTTCCATAATATGACATATATATTGTTGACAAAGAATCACTAACAAATGAACTCCTCTCAGAATCATTTTTTTTTAATCAATGGTTTATCATTGTTTACAGATATACATTAAATTACTTATAACAGTGGCTGCACCAGTTTCCATTGTTCTTTGGGTTGGTTCTGAAATTAATTTTCTATAATAAAGGGCTACAATCTTTTTTATTATTGAGAAGTTTGAACAAGAAGTTTAAATTTAGATATTTTCTACAGTTTTTTATTTTAAGGGAGCCATATGAAAGAACACTAAGACTCCATTATATCAGTATGAGACTGTCTTTGCGCTTTACTTATCCAGGCTTATGACTTACTAAAGTTTTTTTAATTATCAAAGTTTTATTAAAAACATTAGTCTTAAAGAGTTTTCAAAGTATTTTAAAATTATATTACTAAAAAAGCTGTCCTAGAATAATAAGGATAGGTGCAGTCACTATTATAGTTTTATTGTTGAGACGTTAAGATGGTAGTAGAGGGTAAATTTAATGTATATTTGTAAGTAACAATAAACCATTGCTAATAAAATACGATTCTGAGTGGAGTTCAGTTGATAGTGTTGCTTTGTCAACAATATATATGGTAAAATAATTATATATTTTTTTTGAATAATGTACCTATTTTCTCGAAAATTCTGGTAAAATTAAAAAATAATATCCCTAAAATACAACACAGGTTAGATTTTCTTTCAGAAAATGTGCTATCATTGTCAATCAGAGTAAAATTGTTGGTTGTCAAGTTGTCCACAGAAAAAAAAAACAAATAAATAAAAAAAACATTATTGTAAAACCATAAGCTTCTTTGCTTCACTCAGAACCTAAAAATATTATTAGGTTAAATTATGGGACACACAAACAAATAATTATGGAAATTATTCGTCTATATTTTAAAAATTTTATCATTATCCAAAATTACTCAGTTTAGATTTCACTAAATGGTTAGCTAAAAATGTGTTCAAATTATTATAGAGGATATAGTTAGATCATTTTTACACTCACCAAAACACTTATGAAGCATTTCTTTTTTTAGAGCTTTTGAAATACAATCGTATGGAAAAATACCCATAACTGCCAAGTTTGAAAGAACAAGAATGTAACTTTTAGTATGTCTTTCAAAATCAATACTTCTTGAATTATTCCTTAATTCTTTAACAATGGACTCAAATATACAAGGTGTTGTGTGTGGATTATAATTTAACGTGCTCAGTGCAAACATTAGTCTTTCCATATCCTTGTAAACAAAACAGATTTAGTAAATTATAATTCTAATAGGTTTCATGTTAAGTACCTTTATTCGTGCTTGCGATATTTCATTAACTATACGTTGTGAAATTGTCTTCAAGAGTTTTTCATGTCTTATCATTAATTTAGTTCCCAATAGTGCCATATGTATACAACATATAAGATCTACTTCATTCACTTTTTCTACAAGGACATCCATAAGTTTGTACATAGAGTCAGCGTTTGAGTACTTTGTGCAGTAAATAAATATCTGGATACATAGAAAATAAAGTTACTAAAAAAATAAAAATAATTTGTTTGATTATTAAATGGATGACGAACTAGAGCTTTAAAAATGTTTAGTATTATTTCAGTGCATTAAGATAAAAAATATTTCAAAATTTCAAATTATATGATAACACACCAATTAAACATACAATTTTTAAAAAATCAAGATTGTTTAATTAGGCATTTTTGTAATAATAAATTGATTCATACCTTCAAAAATGTTGTTAACTGGACTACTTCAATGTTTGTTATTTCATTAATTACAGAATTGTACATTTGTTTTACTAGTTCTTGATTACGTATGGTCATTTCAGTCTTGAAAAAACATAGAGCTACAAGGCTCAATTCCTTAATATTAAAATCATTGTAATACGAAGAAACTTCTTGTTCAATTTCATACATTGGCAATTTGTGTGAAAACTTCCTGGCATAGTTTGCATAAAATATCATCTGAATTAATTGATTTGGGGTCAACCTGAAATTAATTTGTTAAAATAAATACTTATACATTTATATAGATACTTGCTTACAAGTTATGATGTGAATTTTAATATGGTAATAACCACTAACATACCTGGACGGTTTACGTGCCAGTTTTCTCACGCTTAACCAAACAAAGTCACTTAACTTGATCAAACCCATCGCGTACCAATGATCCATGTAGAGCAGAAGTTTGTTTAGGCTCCAATTTTTGTACCTGGCGATACACTGTTTGTCAAATAGTGACCAAAACTTACGATAAATAGGGTCATAGGGGTTTTTCACATTCCATCGGGCGATCAGCTGCAACATATCCATCAACTGTTGATCAGTCATGTCAGGCAAAATCGTTACCAATCGATTCCGCAGTTCGTCGAATACAGTATCCTGAAGTTGGAGACCTCTGGGAGCCGAGTATGACGTTATCAACAGAAAATTGTCACACACCTCATCCACTGTTGCGGCGCTCCAGTCCTGCGACGACAGGGCGGCGAACCGCTCATCCGTCACAACGGGCCAATCGATTCGGACCTCGATGGTCGTTTCACGATAATTCGGATCATTGGCAATGATGTTACGTCTCAAGAGACCGTCTTGCTGTAAGAATGGCGTGGGCCGACTTATCGATAACGAAGAGTTCGCTGTCCGAGCAACGGGCCGTACGACAGCGACGACCCGTTTTGGAAATGCGGTAAGCCGGTACAAGGCTCGGTTCATGATTCAGTCACGTTTCGAAAAGATTATTTGTTTTTTTTTTTCACGTATGCCATAAATATCAGATAAAAAAAATAAGACTGACCGAAAACACTAACTACAGCAAGCATGGCCACAGCAAGGACATTAACGCTATCGATAACAATCAAACCTTACATTCCTCCGGCAATATTTGATAAGAAAGTCCAGTGGTTCCTAAAATGCATAACATTGCAATTAAGGCGTAAGACAGTTAATAAATACGCAAAAATGCACGAAGAGAAGTCAGATAACACGGCACTAATAAACAAATCGTATGTTGTAGTGACATGTAATAGTGCTGAACGGCCGAGGTGACTGTCTTTTAACACTCGATAAAAAATAGAAAAAAATCCGGGGAAATAAATTTGATTCCACCAAAAGAAAGAAAGAGAGGAGTACTTTAGGATAGTTTGGACGGATAAGTGCATCTCGGGTCGAGATATCCTCTAATGGTCCTAGCAATAAATCGTATTGTATAAGGATATTATATTCTATTGAGGTACATATCTACCTATTTCAAGTATAGTTCAAAAATTTAAAAATTGTCCATACTTGTACTTATATTATAGTGTGTCTAATTAGTATGTACTAATTTTTATTCTTTTTGGTTAAGTTAGATTACTTTCAAGTTTAAAAAAGTAACTTTATGAGAGTTATATTTTTTTTTATAAAAATATTACTGAAATTTAATAATTATGTATTCAATGTGAATAAGTGAGAATAGTACAATACATTAAATAATAATAGTAACAATTAAAATTAAATTATTAACACTTACTAATTTTACAATAATAAAAACAAATTGTTGAGTAATACTAGGTATACAATTATATAGGTACGTTATAATTATAAGCATTGGTAACAACAACCATAATAGTCTAAAATTTAGAAATTTTACTACAAAAAGTAACTTAAATTACATATAAATTATTTACACAACATAAAATTAAATAATCATGGAATTAGGTAGGTAGGTACTTGAAAATTAATTTTGTTACAGTACCTTGTAACTTAAGTTACTCCTCAACACTGATTATACCAAATATAATAGGGAATATAATATGCATAATATAGCTAGTATGTGTACTTATGTAAGACACCAATACATCTATATCTTAGAAATTATGGATAATGGATTTTACCCATTTAACAATAATTAACATGGATGTGAGGTGTATTATAATACATGCTTCCAATAGATAGGTACTAAAATAATACTATTTGTAATGTCTGTATATAAATCAATACCTACTAGGTAGGTACTTACCTACTGATCGAATAGTTTTATTTGTTTAAGTAAATAAATCATATCTTTATCATCTTTATCTTAACCTATTTAGTTTATGGTTCAAGTCCCAAAATAGATGGGCACTAGTTTTTACTGATGTTAAGAATTATTAAAATTATTAAATGGAGTTTATCCATATATAATAAATAAATAAGATAATAGGTAAAGGCGGTAAAATCATTCTGTTAAAAAAAAGTATTTTTATTTTTATGATGCCAAAAGTACACAAATGAGCAGGTTTGTTCTCAAGAAGAAACATTAAAAAAAAAAAAAAAATAAGGTAATGTCACAAAGGGATGTAGCAAAGTAGTACAATATTCCTCATCGTACAATTAGTTATACTAAGTTTTACTAAGGACGAGGAAAAAATGTTGGTTGTTTTATGAAAAAATAAAAGATGTCCAAGGATAATGACAGGTGCAGCCATTGTTTTAGATAATTTAATGTATATTTGTAAGCAATGATAAACCATTGATTACGAAAAAACGATTCTGAGCAGAGTTCAGTTAATAGTGATGCTTTGTCAACAATATGTATGTCATATTATGGTAAAATAATTAAATAGGCTATATATGTTTTCTTTAATAATATTTGTTCAATATTTATTTATTTATTTAATAATTATACGCCCCGGAGGGCATTGGTACAGAAAAAAGAGAACGATGTCTCGTAGAATGGGAGGGAACACGGAGTGAAACAGCGGCTACTAAATCGGGAGAGTCAATAGAATAGTTGAGAAGAGAGATGATGAACATGAAGTCAGCGGCGTCACGGCGTGAGGACAAAGTTGGGATATTGAGAGTAGAGCGGATAAGGGTGTAGTCATGATGTCCGTGTTCAATTTTTAACAGAAAGGCAATTAAAGATAGGAAGCGATTTTGAACTCGTTCAAGGCGCAGTTGATCACAGAAAAGGAAAGGATACCAAATGACTGAGCCATACTTAAAGATAAAACGTATGAGGTTGAAGTAGAGAGTTCGGAGACAGGTAGCAAAGCAATAGCGTCGCTACGCTTCTGTAAGCTCTGTACGCTGTATTGTTGCTTACAGATATATATAAAATTACCTATAACACTGGCTGCACCAGTCCCCATTATCTAAGGACGTCTTTTATTTACATTAAAAATAAGAAATTAAAAAAACCTATAATTATAAAAATAAAGAAGTTTAATATAAGAATATATTATTTTTTAAATGTATTAATAATACATTAAAAATAATTATAATTTAAATATATTAGTTTTTATATTATAAGGGGGGGGTGAGCATGAGGTAATTGACTTTTTTTTCATTAAATACCTAACGTAAATCTATAACTTAGTAACATGTGTAAAACACTTAAAAATAGATAATCTTTGTAATTATGTATTTAAGATTAAATAAAGGAACATAATATGTATAGTTTAAATCACTTTTTTTTTTGTAAAATTTAACAAACAGTTTTTTCCTCTTTCTTAGTAAAACCACTTTAATAAGCCAATTTAAAGCCAAATTAATTAGTATATTTGTCTTTTAACTTATAATTAATGCACGTTAAAGAATATTGTACAACTTTGCTGTATCTCTTTGTGACATTACCTTATTTTTTTTTTTATATCGTTAAGACATTTGTTTAATGTCCCTTTTTGTCAACTAACTACTCATATGTGTACTTTTGGCATTCAAAAATAAAAATAAAATGCGATGTATTTATATTTATACGGATTTCCTATACATCGTTCACATCATGACAAGCGATAACGCCAGACTAGTTCAACATATATTACTATACATACTTTTCCAACGCCAAAACCAAGTGATGGTTTCCGACTGAAATTCTAAAATTGTCGATTGGTGGATGGAGGGAAGTATCACATCGCTCCATTAACCACATTTGGACCATTCCAGGAATTGAACATATATATTCATCAGGTGGAGTGAACCAAATTTTAGGGGCCTACTAAACTATAAATTACCACTACATGTAAATATTTAATACTTGTTGGATGGGATAACGATTAGGTCCAGTGTAGGGGGATTCCCTATA